TACAGTCTAGTGATTGAAACTATAGAAGGTTAAAGCTTAGGTTCCTATTCAATTACCATGACAACTTATCTTAACCAACAGCACCGTGGGGGAGGGGGGGTGAACATACCAAAACAAATGAGTAATGATTGATTACATTCCTATGAATATGATTTTAAGGTGTGACTTCACTTGCTAAACTGTATTCTTATACAACAAACGAAACGTTACTTAGTGTTAGAATTTTGGACCCAGGATCATTGTTACCTGTGAATTTGTTGTGTTCATTGACTGTTATTTTCATTGGAGTATTGATTTAGACCTCTCTTACTTTTGATCTTTGGAATCTTCATGTTTCAGTGAACAAAAGTCTGTGAGTACGATCATTTTTCACAAATTTCCGATGGCTACTAAAAATAATCCTTTGAATAGACTAATACTGCATGAATTTAAAAGGTTTAAACCATCACCAGTTCACGTTTGATGGCTTAGACAGATGCTTAGATGCTATGACAGAAATCCAAAAATATAGGCGATGAAAAATGTATGGGACATTTGTATGGACCACAATCCAACCAGAAGTTAATCAGTGGAAACTTTCGGTCTTAGGACTAGGAATTTAGGAATTTTAACTTTATAATATATATTTGTATAATAGATCTCTTGTATTAGCCACATTTTGTCATTTAGTTTTGTAAGCTGAAGAAGACCAGAGGACTGGTCGAAAATTTAATTTTAAACAATTTAGATGTGTATAAGAGACCACTCTAGGAGAACAGTCTGTTTGACGGAAAAGTCCACCCAGTATAAAGAATAAATAAATAAATAAAAATGGCCAAGCAGCAGTGTCTGTGGAAGTCTAGACACTTAGTGGAGTCTTCAGCAAATTTGGAAATTATCTGAAACCCAAACCCAAACGCAATGACATAAAAGCAACAATTGCCTTTTACAAACAATGCCAACACAGAAATGAGAATTTTAATGACTTTCTACAGATATTCGAATCTTAGTAAAGCTCTGTGACCATGGCGATCTTCAAGCCAGAATGTTGCAGGACACAATTGTCCTAAGAGCCATAAATACGGTACATCCTAGGGTAAAAGATTAATGTATGGACATTACAGTTGGTCGATTTCTTACTACGGTAATTTCTCTTCCATCTAGTATTAAATTTTAAGAAATATGAAATCCACTATCATGGTAGATTTTCCTTAATCCTTGTGAAATAGCAAAATTAGAACTATGCCTAATTATGTCAGGCCACCATTGTGATACTAATCCCTCCCCTCAAAAATCAATAAAGCTACATTTACGCTAGACACCGCATGGTTTATTGTATTCTTCAACACTGTCGTGTGTGTCGTTGTCGTGTGTAGTGTTCAATTCAATTCAATGTTTATTCATTTCATCATAAAAAAAAAAGTAAAATAGGTACATAAAATACATGTTAAAATACTTGATGAAATTGGAGCTCATTTAAACATCATAGAATTTGTACAGTTAGTTGGTAATTAACATTTATTATTCAAATACATCAAAATAGATTAGTTAAATAACAAAAGAGACAACGGGGCTAAAGCTTACATAAATTGCACAGAAATGGGAGTAATTAATAATAAGTAATTAATTAGCAATGAGCCGGGACGGAGATGTAAAATGTTGCAGTGTACATTACTGTAGAAATTAATTAAAATATGTTTAAAACATGAATTAAAACATGTGAAAACAGTGAGCCTGGACAGAGATATGAAGTTTTTTATTTATTTATTTATTTTTTTATTTTAACAATCTTTAATGAGGGTGGTCCATCCAGCCGAAGCTGATCATTAGGGACCCTCAATACACATAGTAAAACAAAACAAAAGAGCATTAAACTAATTAAATTACAGTAAAATAAATAACAACTTCTCAATTCAAAATTTACATAAAGAATTAATTCAAAATTAAATAAAAAACTTAATATAAAAATTAAAATTAAATTACAATTAAAGATGTAAATGAATGAGCAAGATTAAAAAAACAATAGGCAAAAGAGACATTAAAACAACAAAGGGAATAAAGTAGCCTAAATAAAATAATCATATAAATTAAAAATAGATAATAGGCCAATGTATATGAAGTATTGCACTATATATTAGAAATGAATTTAAATAAACTTTTTTTAAAAGTAAAAACCGATTTGGAGGACTTAAGTTTGCTATTAGTGAGTTCCATATTTTAGGGCCAACAGTACTGACACTAAAAGCTTGTTTTTACGGTTTGGGGTGTAATCCAAAACCTGTCAACCTGAAAACCAAATTTTCACTTTTAAAAGTATATGAAATTATTTATATTACTTAAAATAATAATTATCTGGACATTTAAAGCTAATTATTATTGTTTTTGTGATAATGCTAATTTTTTGTCATGTGACCAAACTTAGGAAAGTACTTAGTAAAAGTGGCGGGACGGAAATCCTAATACTTGCTGATATTTTCAGTCGGAATAATTTCTAAGATTTTAAATTCGATTTGTTTTATAGTTAGCAGTCAACAGTACAAATTAAGGTAAAATAAAATTTTCGACGCATTTTTTAATTATTAATATTGAAGCATTTTCATTGGTCAAATTCTGTCCCTCCACCAGTTGAAACCATTTTTTAGACGCTTTACTATGATCTGATTTTCATCACATTTTGCTATTATATGATTTTACATTTAGGTTTATGATTTAGCTTTTAAAAATTAATTTTGTCAAATTAAAATTAATTTAAAACCAGTTTTAAACCCATTTTAATATTTTCCGTCCCGTTCTTATTAGAATTTCGTCCCACCACCATTTATGAAGTATAATTTGTTTTTAAAAGTGTTTGCATCGATTCCGTTTACATAATTCTTAACAATATTATGATTTTAAAGGTGTAATTTATGATTTTGGCTAAAAAAGTAATTTTGGAAAATTTTAAACAATTTTAAACCAAAATATTTATTTAATTCTGTCCTGCCACCTTTTGGAATTCCATCTCGCCACCATAAGAACATTGAAAGCTACAGTACATACTGTAATACCTTGAATAACGCAGTAGCTTTATTTCTAGTTGAATATTTTATGGAACATACCATCGTGTATAATAACTGAGGAAAGGTTAGAATTTCGGTTGTGATCAACATTGTACATGACTACACCTAGTTGTAAGTTATTGATATTGTCTAGAGATAGTATATCAAATTTCTTAAAGTAGGCGCTAACATTGTCAGAAAAATTTGTCCATGTTAATTGCACGTAACGCTTTTTTTTTGTTGAGAATCTTAAGATCCTTAAGATACGAAGGAAACGTATTGCACCAAATTAAGTTGCAATAGCTGAGTGTCGATTCAATGAAAGTCTAAATGGTTCGAAGAGCTAAAGATCTAAATTGTAAAGTAAACTAGTATATTTGGCTACTTTATTAAATTAACAGAGCTTAAGTGGTTTTTAAACAAGATATGCTCATTGATAAGAATACTAAGAAATTTAGTGCAACTAACATGATCAATGCCGCAACCATTAATCATAATATTTATGTTGCTTTTATGAATTTTCTTTTTTGGTGTGTGAAAAAGTATAAAATTGGTTTAATAATATTTAATGGCTTACTTTGGAACTAGCTGTTTATTTTGGTTAGTTAAATATTGACTTGTAATGTGATAAAACATCAAGGTTTTTGTGGGAAAAGAAAATATTACTGTAGTATCATCAGCAAAAACTATAAGGTTTAAAATATATGTGCAATAGGAATATCATTAATATAGAATAAAAATAAAAGTGGACCAAGAATGGAGGCTTGGGGAACTCCATACTTAACTGAGCGCTTACATAATGAAAATAATAAAAAATATAAAAAAAATAATGAAAGAGCCGAGCCCCTGATGTTCAAGTGTGTAAATAAGTGTCTTATGATAAGACAATAAATATACCAATTGCATATTCCCCAGCATCAATAGAAGTATTAAAGTAAACTGTGTTTACTTGTATGTTTTTTTTTTTATTTGTGGGGTCTATCTAGTCTCATTATCCAGTCAGCAATTAAGCTTATTAGTCAAGCAATGTTAGCACTACAGGGTTGGTGGGGTGCAAAAGGAAAGCCCCCCCCCCCCCAATATCATGTTATTTGCTCTCTAGTTACTTTTAATACTGTACGTGTAACTAACAACACGATCCAGGACACACCAGCTCCCACCTACAACCTCAAACGTTACATAGATAGATAGAGATCTTTGTTTAATTCTGAATACTTAATCAATTTACATTGATCTTCCTTAAGGTTCGTCAGTGTGTGGCTTGCTTTTATAAATCACTGTAGTTTTACCCCAAGATAGGTAACAAAATTGGAAATGTTCAATGAATAGTTATTTAGAGTCCATAGTCCATTCTGGTTTTTTGGTTTTGGATTAAAACGAAGACCATGAGATACAATGTAATCATTGGCATAAGCAATTCAGTTCCTGAAGCACGGTCACTGTTAAGCTAAATAATAATGATAATAATAATGATAATAATAATAATAATAATAATAGCACTTAATGAAAAAAATAGCGTCAGAGCGCTGAAAAAAGCCTGTTGAATAAAATCTAAGATTATAAGTTAACAGTGGTGGATCCAAGAATTTGAAATAGAGGGGCCCAAAGAGGGAATTATACAGATAGAGGGTCAATACTATCTCATGCCCAACATGGTTGGGGCTGAGGTAAAAAATGCTATGATTATGGCAGGAAATGGCATTTTTAGACTCAATTTGAGTAGAATTTTGTTTTTTTTCTTTTTTCTCAATTTTTTTAAACTTTTAATTGTGGAAAAATGTAAGGGGTGGTGGTTGTCCTGAGTCAACTGGGGCCCCCTCCCCTTGAATCCGCCTATGGTTAAGAGGTAAAGTCTTTAGGGCCTTTTTAAAACAGTCAATGCTTGGTGGTGAGTTTTGTATTTCAAATGGAAGTGTGTTTCAGAGGGTTGGTCTGATTGAAAAAAAAAAAAGATGTTTAACCATGTTTTGAATTTTTTTGCAGGTTGGTAGGTTAAATGATGTGATGAACGAAGAGTGTCAACAGGTGAGTGTCTTTGAACCAGATAATTTGGTGCGATGTGATAATTTATAAACCTCCCTGATGTGATTATGTACTTTTATACATAATTAAAAGAACTTTAAAGTGGATACAAGCGATAATAGCTTGCCAGTTGAACTTTCAGAGCACTGCTGTAATATATTAACTTGGCAACAGTTGTAAAATGCTCCCATTCGTTAGTTTGGCGTGATGCAGTTGAACATTTTGTGGAACACGCAGTTTGTGGGGGATTGGTGAAATGTGGCGTTTCGTAGATTTTTTAAATTCACCAAAAACACCACTTCTCTTATATCAGGACCCTTAGCATAGCATGTATTGCTTTTAATTTGTAGTCTGCTTACCTGGTCGGTATATCAGATCCATCAAGTGTAACATGTCGTCTAGGACTTCTTGATCAGTGTCAGGTTGCCAGAGCATACGAGGCTATCCGTGCGGCTTATGACTGTTTTCTGAATCCAACAACCAATCAACAACAGGTTTGTGGGTACTATTTAAATTAATCTCACAACCTTATATGCCAACTACAAGTAAACTTGTTTATATGTTCATACAGCATTTAAGGATAAATGTCAAGCCATTTCAAAATTGAATATACTAGTCTCATAGTCCAATCAGCAACTAAGCTTAATAGTCGAGCAATGTTAGCACTACAGGGTTGGTGGGGTGCAAAAGGGAAGGCCCCCCCCCCAATATCATGTTATTTGCTCTCTAGTTACTTTTTATTTATTTATTTCTGTCTTTTGTGTGAAAACACTTTCAGTGATGTAGCACTGGTATCACAAGTGGATCAAAAGTTAAAAGAAGAAAACCAGAATGGAAATAAAGAAATTGAACTTAAAAACAAAACTTCATTTGGAAGGGTGTTCCATGCTTTAGTTCCACGATATGAAAATGTCCTTGGTACCAGATTCCATTTTTGTTGAATCAAGTCATTATTAGACTTGTTCCTAGTACATTGAGGCTGATTATCATTGAGATAATTTCCCTTCTCCCCAATTTTCCATTCATGCATATCAATTGCTGTTTTGAAGTTGATGCAGAACAGTTACTTATACGATCAACACAAGAAAGTGCATTTAACAAACTATTTACTTTTGTAAAAAGTACTGTGCATTTAAATAAAAAGTAAAAAAAAACATGAATGGAAAAGTTACCCATTAGTGTTGTGATTTTCTTTAAATTGCTATGAAAAATCCTGTTAACCTCCTAAATTTGCCCTGCTCCGCACTCAGAAGACACAGGCACCACCACTGTCTTCAAGGAATGCAAGGAAGATATATAATTTAAAAAATAATGAATTATTTAAATTTCTTCATTAGGTGAGAGCTGCTGTCACCGATGTTCTCCAGCACACATTAGTGTTTTGCAGTGCCTGTCTTCAGGTGTCGTCCAAGACAAGTGATCCTGTTGTTCAAAAAACATTCGTCCAATCAGAAAAGAATGTCGCTAATAACGTAGCTAATGTGGTCGATAATTTTAAGGTTTGTCAAATATGAAACTTGGAGCAAATTGTTATTTGTTGTTGTGGCCACCATCACCATAATAAATCAATTTGATAATCCTGATACCCTTTGCTTGAGCATCTGCCTGTAGGAGGCTATTGGTGTTGTTCACAGCATCAGCATCACTATTATTAAGGCCAAATTTGACAGCATTGTACGAAGAGATAAGTCTACATTAAAGACAGTCCAAGCTCTCCGAATGGACCTATACATCCAGTACTATAACTGTCATTTCACATTTTTTTGTTTATCTAGGCCTTGAAAGATGACTTTTATAGTGAAGATAACAGACAGAAGTGTGCAGCCAGCACTAAGCGACTATTTGAGGCTGTTGATGAAGTGGTCACCTTTGCTTCCTCACCAGAGTTCACTGGTATCCCAGCTGAAACCACTTCTCAGGTACACAGAATTCATTTCTTGATTATTAGTTTATTTGTAATTGTTAGGGCAATACAAAAACCTGATTTTGAAGTCTGGAGATGATGTTAAAATAAAAAAAAAAAAAAAAAATCCTTTCCGAGCCACTGGGGCTCATAGCTTATCCCCAGTTTCTGTAGTGTGAAGCGGATGAGAGTTGTACTCTCCCTGGACTTGACACTAGTCCGTTGCAGTTTGCTGGTACCCATTGATACAGCTGGGTGGAAGGAAGGAATGTAGATAATCTGCACAGCGGAGACTCGAAACCCCGATCTAGCCCCGAAGCCCAAACCTCAACAGCTGGGCCAAACTGCCACTACATGATGTTAAATTGGTGTACAGTAAAAATGGCCCAGGTAAAAATGTCCCCCAATAATAAAATTCTGTATTAAACCTGATTTAAAAAAATGTTAAACTGAAATAATTTAGTTTTTAAAAAGAATCCAACATCAAATAAATTGCCATTTATATTTTACTTTTTGCGTGATAATAAGCCATGATGAGTAACACTATTGTTTCCATTTGAATGCAAGAATTTAATCAATAAATCAACATAAATCATGTATTTAGTAATACTAAAATAATTTATTTATGGCCTATTTCACGGAAGCGGAATCACAATTTTTGAGAAATTAAATCTGGGTATTGCTATGAACTTCAATTTCTTTTTACAGAAAAGGAGAATAATATTAATAAAAAAGCTTAGCCCTTACAAAAAAAAATCTATAAATTTCATAATTGGGAGCCATTTTTTATTTATTGATCCAACACTTGCTATTTTATAGTGTTTAAAGATTTTAAGTCATTTCTGTTACTGAATTTTTTCATTGGGGCCATTTTTACCTACTTGTGGTTTAGGGCCATTTTTCCTACTTTTATTAATATGACTTGTTATTTTATTAAGTAAGATATTAACAATAATTGAGGCATTTGTGGCAAAATGGTTAAGTTGTCGCATGATTAATTGAGCTATAAAATATGAGAACTAAAAAATTGGCTAAAAATCCAAATTTGTATTTCGCTATAAATCAACAGTTTAATGTCTTATGCATCATGTTCTAAAGTATTAGTTCAGGAAATGGTCATCAAAACATGTATTGATGTTATTTTGATAGCTTTCCATTAAACAATGTATGCACAAATAGTTTCAGAAGACAATTACTCAAAATCATGTTTATTTTAGTTCAGAGTGCTGTACTTATGCTTGAAATGTCTATTTTCCATGAACGACCCCTCATTTTAATTTAAATTTTTGTTACAACTTAGCCATTTTGCCACAACATGACTCAATTTACAATAATGATGATACAAATACAGTATACACAATAATTGTTTAACTGGTTTGAATTATATTTAATTTCATATTTATATAGTTTATTATTTGTTTTCTAGCACACTTGCTGATCACAAAAGAAGACTAGTATTCAGTTGGAGCTTGTAGGTGAAGCAGGTGAATGATGGGCAGACTGAGTATAAATGGAGTCTAGAAATGAATTGTTTGAATCCTGCACACTGCAACCTGAAGCTTAGGATACTCTGATGTATTGAAGTTAAGCAGGTGGATTGCGAGACGCAATAGACATTTATTTTGTGCATTCATTAACATTAGTTAAACATATCAGGTTTGAGTAACTTAGTGTTGGTCCAATTCTGGAGTTATAAAATGTTAGTCCGATTCTGGACTTAGTTAAAATGCTGGCCCAATGCTGAGGATAGTATACTAAATAAAAATTTGGTCCGATGTTAAAAAGAGATAGTTATTTTGCTCATGTAGAATGAGTATATGATGGTCCTAGTGTAAATTATTGTTAATTGAAGGTTAACAATAACTTAAAATTCTTAATATAATGTAAATAGTGTAAACTTCTAGTCCTATTCTGGACTTACTTAGTTAAAATCCTGTACTTAGTAAATGGTGAAAATCACACAATGCTGAACTTAATTAAAATGCTGAGGATACTGTACTAAATAAAAATTTAGTCTGATGTTAAAAAGAGATAGTTGTTTTGCTCATGTAGAATGAGTATATGATGGTCCTTGTTGAAATTTTGTATTCTAGACTATTATTGTTAATAGAAGGTTACCAATAACTTATAATACTTAATGTAATGTAAATAAACTTTTAGTCTTATTCTGGACTTAGTGTAAATTAATGTAAATGGTCGAGTCCTATTCTGGACTTCGTGTAAATTAATGTAAATGGTTCAGTCTTATTCTGGACTTAGTTAAAATTCTGGACTTAGTGTAAATTAATGTAAATGGTTCAGTCCTATTCTGGACTTGGTGTAAATTAATGTAAATGGTTCAGTCCTATTCTGGACTTAGTTAAAATTCTGGACTTAGTGTAAATTAATGTAAATGGTTCAGTCCTATTCTGGACTTGGTGTAAATTAATGTAAATGGTTCAATCCTATTCTGGACTTGGTGTAAATTAATGTAAATGGTTCAGTCCTATTCTGGACTTAGTGTAAATGCTGGACTTCAATAAAACTGATTGCAACACTATTTCATTGTACTACAACTCATTTGTAGTGTACTGTATTTCAAACGACACATACTGTACAATCCAATAAATCTTAACGAAACTTTTCTGGAAAATTTCGTCAGCGTCTCGCGCAAAAAGACAGTTGGGATTATCCAAGCGGAAGCGATTGCCTATGATAGGCGATCGCCACGCGTGGAACCTACGCGCCACCCACCACCCTTGGCCCCGCTGAAAGATATATATGCCTCTTAGAAGTTGTTCTTGACTTGGTGTTAGTTCTGCAGTTTTGCTGGTTTTTGCTGTTCTAGCTGAAATCAATGAATATTCATCATTTCTCTGCCTGGTAATGATGATAGCTGATCTGGTGGAATATGCAAATGAATCAACTGAAATTAAAAATAGAAATGATATCGATTCTAACCTCCAAATATTATGACTTTTATTACTTTAATTACTTTTTAATTAATTGCCAACTAACATACTTTCATTTATTATAAATATTCTACATATAATAACTTTATATAATTTCAACACTAATATCCGTTGTATAAATCTTGATTATAATACAACCCAAGGCAATGCTTGTCAATGTGTCCACCTTTCTTGGAGAGTTTACCATAGACTCTCCTGTAGGTGCTTTATACATGGCAAAATCAGTATTAAGTGAAATACACAAAATTGGTACATAACTCTCAGTATCATCAAACACCGTAATTTTTACTGATACTGAGAGTTATGTATCAATTGTGTGTATTTTACTTAATACTGATTTTGCATGAATGGACAATGATAGGATTAAAACTGGTTAATGATGGGTGGGATAGTCTATCAAACTTTGCATGTTCTTCCAAGGAAGTTCAACATTACAAAATTTAAAGAACAATTAATACACCTCAATAAAAAAAAATAACTTTCCACTTACCAGAATCTGATATTAGCTTTCTTAATTTTCCAACACTTTCCATGGAGCTTATCAACATGCTGCTGTTTCAAATAAACAAAATTAAATTACAATGGATGTCATTCATTATAAGCTTATTCTTATATTAAATAATGTTTTAAGGTTGTCTCAATGTATACATTGTGCCTCTCAGTGGCATAACAGCTATGCGCTTGTTAAAAAAAAAAAAAGCAAACAACCAAAGTCCGCCGAGTGGACTTCACAGCCCCCGACCCCATCGTCTGTCAACAACATTTTTTGGTGGGCATTTTTTCCTATTGAAAAATATTAAATATCTCTTCACTTACCACATATGGTACTCTTGTGTTGTTATCCACTTTCACCGTCTCAATTTTTGTATACTCATCATGAAAATAAACACCGCTGCTTCTTAACGCTCTATAAAATTAAAACATAGAAAAGATAACAATGTCATAATTACTGTAGTGACATATTGTTTTATTTTCCTGTCTTTTAAAGGAAACAGTGAAAGGTACAGTATCCTCAGTAGCTGTACCTTGGCTTTAAAAACATTGTAAAGCGTAAAAATATTGTTTTATATTTAGCAAACAGTATTGCCAAAAATAAAATAAATTGTTATTGTTGAATTTAAGCAGTATAGTAATGGTTAAAATTTATATAATAAGAAATATACACATTTTTGGAGATTTCAAGACAGTGGCAGGCGAGATAAAAATAATAAGAATAAATTCTTGCCTAAAGCATGGAGTTACAATTATGCCTAAAGGAAGATAAAACAGGCTGATTTTATATAGTCTTATTGATAATTCCATTATGGTTAACAATAGCAATATTATTATGGAGGATGATTGGTTTACCATATATTAATTTTAGTTCAAATTCAAATTTTAAAAATAGAAATCTGCAAATTTATGAACATTGCCAGACCTTAAGGGAACTTAGGTGGTATATTTTAACCGTTGATGAAAGTAAACCTAAATACCTAAATGCTACAAAATACAAAGAGAGCTGAATTTTGAACATAAAAACATTAAGTAAGTTAAACTTGCTTAAGTCGACTGTACCTAAGTCAAATAATTTCTAAGTCAATATTATTTTACATGCCAAATTGTTGTGTTTCCATTAATTAACAAATTTAAGTTTTTATCCAAGTCGAACAATATATCAATGGCATTTTGGATTCGACTTGGGCAAGTTCAACTGTAATAACATTTCAAATATTGTCAAAAATACAATGCTTATATTACCAATTCTTGTACAGTAATTGGAATTATTGAAATAAAATATATCTTACTTTATTTACAAGTTTTTGTTCTGTCTCAGCAACTTCTTCTTCATAATACCCTCACAGAAAATGCTTAAAAAAAACCAAAATTTTATTTATAGAAAATTAATTTACACAAATCAACACTTAGATGGGGCGTTTCTACTTCTATAATACTGAATTTCATTCATGTTATAACTATAATAAGAGTTATTACCTGTAGCTTTCAATCTGCATTCTCGGACCTTCTTCAGCTGAATGGCAATGCCTGCGTCTCTGATGATATAATGGTGACAAGTGGGCTCTGCGATGCTGAGCATTAGAATGTCCCCCTCCTCTTGGTCTTGGTGTAGGTCATGCATCTTATCTCTCTTTGATGTTTTTCATTTCCTTGTCCAATAATTTAGTATTAATCCAGTCTGGTCTGGGTGAGAGGTTAATTTTGTGGGTCAATCCCTAGTGTTTCCCGTCCCCAGAAAGAATAATACTGTAAAACAGTTGTAACTTATGATCATAGTGTTTCATTTGCAAAGTTCCATTTACGTGAGCTTGATTTGTTTGCTTTGAAATGTTCAATGAGGGCCGACTGCAGGCCCTCCCCTAGATACTGTTGCACAGTACTTAAAATCAGATCTGAATTAAATATAAATTAAATAAAAATTTTAGCCATGTTAAAATATACTGATATACAATATATTTGACTTTTCTACTGAGAAATCAATTCTCTTATGTTTCTGACTGGGGAAATACCCCTTAACCACACAGCTTATAAGCAGAACCAGAAAGAAAGAATCAATCAATCAAATTAATTAGTTATGTTATGGGGCAGGGGAAGCAGGAACCCTCACATGGTGGCGATCTAGGGGCCCCAATCGTTCCCAAAATGTCAAAGCAAATAAATCAAGCTTAAGTAGATAGCGCCCCATCAATCATCTCCTCCATGTCACCAATCCCCCCCCCCCCATTTCAAGATTCTATGCTCTCAGAGGGGTCCAAGTAAAAGCCCCTGTAAACTCTGACAATTTAGGTATTTAAGTATATTATTTGCACTTGCATTACTTCAGTACTTTGTACTTTTATTTGTTCCTGTTTTTACAGTTAAAATTTCTCTCTGCAAAATAATGGTATGATCTTGTAATTTCTATAGTGTAATACAAGTTTTCTGAAATTTCAATTGACCTTCAATGACCTCTTATCAAAAATTAGGAAATAGTTTGATGTGGATTTGTTTGATAAATAAATTCACAGAGAAACATATACTCGCAATGTAATTGTATTTATTTTGCATACTTTTGATTATTCAGTGGATCAGATAAAAGATCAGATAATTTTGAAATATATAAAATTTAATATCTTTTAAATTCAAATATAGAGGAATAATACTTTGTACTAAATTTTTAAAAATAATTGTTTTTATAAATCTTTCTTATCTTGTTTATCCTTCCTTTTCTCATTCCATTGGTCCAATATGAAAGAAATTAATTTCTTTTCTGTCAGGAAAATAGTTACTAAGACGGCTAGGAGGCACAGACCCCCTATAAAGATGTGGATGAGACGGAAGTAAATTCCACGATCACAGCAAAATGTCACCTGTTTAAACAATGAAAGACATTGAGTTATTATGTTCATTATCAATTTATTTGCCATAAAATTTCTAAGAATTTCTAAAAAATAAAAACAATCAAACTATATGTGTTTAAAAACTAACAGATAGTAATGCTAAGACTTTTCTTTAATAATAATAATAATAATAATAATAATAATATTCAGTTATTTATATAGCGTCTTTCTTTGCAGGTACGAAGCGCTTTTGACCCTGGTCATTGGGTCTAAATGTTGTAATATAAATACTGCTTTAATCAGTGCAGGAGCAGGCAACCCCACTAGGTTCCCAGTGAAGGGCACAGCGAGGGATTGAAACCCCGACCTCAACGTTCGGACACCAAACCTACAGGGAATGTGCAAATAGATGGAAAGAGGAAACAGGAGAACAAATGTAGACAATTTACTATCATAATAAGCTAGGCCCAGACTATCAAATTTTATTTGACAAAAACATATGACTAAATATAGTCATGATGACACCACATCATGACCATATATAGGCACATCATGACTAAATATGGGCGTACAACAGTTGTTTGTCAAGACAGATAGTTTTGATAGATAGCGTGAACACAGAGTTTTCATTTAGTTTATATCAAATTTAGTTCTTTTTATGTAAAATAAAATCCTGACTCACCTCAGAGAAAATGGTAGTTACACCTGCAAATAGGTAAACTAGTAGCACAGGTAATTTTGGTACAAGTCCACTTAAAGGACTGTACGAGCTTCCTTTGTAGAAATTATTGATAAAATATAAACTGCAGAAAAATGAACATAATATACATAGCATTCTCAGCTCATAATAATACACTTCATATGGCATATATAAACATAATAATTTAATGCCTTGTCTAGAACGTTGTTTACTGTAGATTATGTCACCTCAAGCATATGCCAGGCCATTTTAATATTTCCCTTAAATGTTTTTTTTTCATTTTTTAGTGTTTAACGCATACTGTACAGTACAATATATTAATAGCTGAATTTATAAATTATTGAAAATAATGTTTGTTTTTTATTTCTGTAATATAAAAAATTTACTTGATTATACTGTAATACTAGGTATTTATTTTACAATAACAAAATTATGCTTACCCTGAATAAACCCTCTCGAAAGCATTTTAGAAGGTCCCAACAGAGTCAGATCATCATATTTTTTTTCAATCATTATACAGGGTATCCTGTTCAGTAGATATCTACAATTCTTCCCAGTTAGGCCAAATAAGAAAAATTTATTGTGCCGGCCACGCCGGACCAACCCAAAATGTTTGAAATTGATGGTCAGCATTTTATTTATTTTTTTTAATGATGATGCGACAGTGTTATGCGATTGATTTGCCCTTCAATATAAATTTTAAAATGGTCTTTGTTGTGCTTTTGTGTATTTTCTACCTTTCAGGCATAAACATATTAAATTTTCCTACCGACCTATGCATTTTTGGGATTTTCCCATAATGTGGCAAACACAAGAAATTTTTTTAATGGCCTTATGCTAATAACTAAGCCTCCTTATAAGTCTTAGGTTCTGGAGTTGTTCTAGAAATGAGAAAATTCCTGCTATCACAGGTATTGAAC